ATTGCTGATGGTAGCCTAGTGCAATGCCCGCAGTCTTTCAGCAATCTGAATTGGGAAGTGCAGCAACATCAGTTTACTTCATCATTCTTGGCTCTTCCAATGCCATCTTATGACATGATCCTAGGTATGGACTGGATGGCCAGCCATAGTCCCATGCAAATCGATTGGTAGCATAAATGGCTTCAGATTCCATATGTGCAGTCTAGCGTCCGTCTACAGGGCAAATTGATGGAACTACCGACTGGGTCAGTTATCCAAGTACAGGCTGTTTCTTCTGAAGACTCTCCACAACAACACCGTGTCCACCTAGCCGTTTCGGAACTGTTGAAGGAATTTCAGTTTGTGTTTGCTCCTCCGTGGGGGTATCCTCCAGCGCGGCAATTTGATCATGCTATTCCTCTGATTCCTGGGGCTTCACCTGTACAGGTCCGGCCTTATCTCTATCCGCCGGCTGTCAAGGACGAGATTGAGAGGCAGGTTATTGAGATGCTCAAGTCCGATATCATTCAGCCGAGTAATAGCCTGTTCTCCTCTTCGGTTCTTTTGGTAAAGAAGAAGGATGGGACCTTCCGATTCTGTGTCGACTTCCGTCACCTAAATGCCATCACTGCCAAGGCTAAATACCCGATACCAGTGATTGAGGAGCTGTTGGATGAACTCACTCATTCATCTTGGTTTACTTGTTTGGACCTCATGGCTGGTTATCACCAGATCCATTTACAGCCTGGGGAAGAGCCGAAGACGGCGTTTCAGACACATTCAGGACAATATGAGTTTCGTGTTATGGCCTTCGGTCTTACTGGGACACCTGCTACGTTCCAGAAAGCAATGAACACGACGCTCGCACCACTGCTTCGCAAAGGAGTTCTGGTATTCTTTGATAATATACTCATCTACAGCCGCACTCTGGAGGAACATATCGTGCATCTCAGGCAGGTTCTAGAGCTTCTACGATGTGATCGGTGGCAAGTGAAGATGTCAAAATGCTTGTTTGTGCAACGGCAGTTGAAGTATCTGGGTCACGTCATTTCTGAGGAGGGAGTTGCTACTGACCCTGATAAGGTCCAGGCAGTGCTCAATTGGCCAGTACCAACATCTGTGAAGGAGCTCCGCAGTTTCTTGGGCTTAGCAGGGTACTACCTGTTATGAACGACGTATAGGAATATGAAGTAAAGAATCAAACCACAGAGGAGACACACGATTTAACGTGGAAAACCCCTCCGATGTGAAGGGGAAAAACCACGGGCACCAGCCAGCAACAATCTCACTATCTCAAGAGTTTTGGGTTACACGCTTATGGCGGCTTACAAGAGAATCAAGTCCCCACGAAACCCTAGCAAGGGTGTATATATCATGACAGATGCAACATTAAACAAGGGCGAGACTGATGGGCGGCTTTCTGCTCCGGCCTCCCATGACGGGCCTCCGCCTTCTCCGTCGAAGCTTCTTCTATATCAGTGAATTTGGAACAACTCCAACAAACTCCACCTTGAGACAAATTCATCTTGTATCATAAATCAACCCGGGCATCCCGAACATACCAAAGATAGAAAACCACTGGTGCCAACAATAGTCTCTTGGACTATCCAATTAAACCGCTTGAGCATAGCTCAAACTTAGCAACAGAACAGCTTTGTCATCATATCAGCAGGATTATCATGAGTACTAATCTTGCATACCTTCACTTACCTTCTTCAATCACATCACGCACAAAATGATACTTGATATCTATGTGCTTAGTTCTCTCATGGAACATCTCGATCTTTAGTGAGGTAAATTGCACTTTGGTCAGTCACAAAGGTGCAAACTTATGCAAGATTCAACTCCACAAAGCTCGCCAGACAAACCTTTCACCAAATTAATTTAATTTTTGCACGCTTCACAAATAGCCATATATTCGCTTCAAGAGTAGACAAAGCAACAACCGATCAGTAAGTAGCCTCCAACTCACAAAGACAACCGCCAACAAGAAACACATAACACTGTAAGTGATCTTCGCTTTGTCGGATCAGAAGATAATCGTCTCCACATAGCCAATAAGACCCTTATCAGCTTCTTCTTCCAAACTTTAAACAGAATCTGTTTGCCTCTCGAGGTACCTCGAAAATCCACGAATCGCCTCTCAATGTTCTTTGCCGTGATTAGACATATATCTACTAACAAGACTCATAGCATATGACAAATCACGAGAGCAAACCATGGCATACATCAAAGACCCAACACACTAGAATAAGGAACCCTTGACATGTATTCAATCTCTCAGCATCTGTACTAGGACACCGAAAGCAAATGACAACTTAAAGTGAGGTGCAATAGGGGTACTAATAACCTTAGCATTTTGCATGTTGAAACGTGAAGAACTTTCTTGATATAATTTTGTTGACTAAGAAATAGCAAACCAGATTTTCTGCCTCTACTAATTTCCATACCAAGAATTTTCTTAGCACTACCAAGGTCTTTCATATCAAACTCACTACTCAATAGCTTCTTTAACTTAGTGATTTCAATCTTACTCTTGGCAAGCAAAGATATCATCAACATATAACAAAGAAATATATAGGTGATCCATTAACATGCTTGATGTAAACACAGCGCATACTTAGATCTTTTAAAACTGTGTGCAACATAAATGAATCAAACCTTTTGTTCCAGTGACACAAACCATACAAGGATCTCTTCAACTTGCACACATATTTTTCCTTGCATGCACTATGAACCCTTCCGGTTGGTCCATGTATATGTCCTCCTCAAGCTCTCCATGCAAAAAACGCAGTCTTCACATCTAACTGCTCAAGCTCAAGATCATGTGAAGCAACAATACTAAGGAAAGTACGAATTGAACTTTGTTTTACCACCGGAGAGAACACATCATTGTAGTCAACACCATTGAATTTGGTCCCGTAGCCTTTAGCAACTAACCTTGCCTTATACTTTGGAGGCTCGCTTGGAGATAAACCTCCTTTCTCTTGAAGATCCATTTGCAAATGATGGTCTTCTTATTCTTAGGCAAAGGTACAATCTCCCATGTCTTGTTCTTCTCAAGAGACTGCATCTCCTCATGCATAGCCTTTTCTCAAGATCACCACAACGAATAGCTTCTTTATAGGTTGGTTGGCTCATGAACATTCTCCACCTGTTCACAACTCAAAGCATAGTAAGACAAATTACACTCTTCAATAAGACGCTTAGGAGGTGCAATTGTCCTTTTGACTTGCGTTGAGCAATAGGTAAATCCTCCTCTAATCGCAAGATAGGAGGAGTTTGCTTTTGAACATCATCATGAGCATCATCCTCAAGAACATCATTATCATGGTCACCATGCTCATCAATAGGCTCCACCTGCACACCAGTTATCATCATCAACATGCTCCACTGCGCATGCATACGCTGCAGCTCCTTTTCTCGAACATGATCTGAGGGCAAACCACAAGAAACATCACATTCATTGAAAACAACACTCCCGCTCATAAAAGTCTTTCCTGCTTTGAGATTCCACAATTTATAGCCTTTGACTCCCGAACTATAACCAAGGAAAAGACACTTAACAGAGGCTCTAATTTTCCATTATCAACATGAGCATAAGCGCATGCATCCAAAACTTTCAACTGTGAATAATCAAGGAGCGCATTGCGCAGACCATACCTCAATGGGAGTTCTTTTATTTAGTGAAATAGAAGGCGACCATTTATCAAGTAACAGAGCGAAGATTAGCGGCTTTCATTTAAAAAACGCTTGCTCATCCTGGCATTAGACAAAGATGCAACGGGCCTTGGACATGATGGTTCTGTTCATGCGCTCGCCACACCATTCATTGTGGAGTATGGGGTATGGTGTGATGCCTAACAATGCCTTCCGATTTGCAATAATCATTAAATTCACGCGAACAAAATTCTCCACCATTATCGAGACGAAGCAATTTTACCTTCCTTTCGGTTTGCCTTTCTATCATTACTTTCCAGTTCTTAAAAGCAAACAAAAGTATCATCTTTCTGTTTTGAAAATAAGGCCAAACCCTTCTAGAGTAATCATCAATAATTGTAAGCATGTAACGAAAGCACCACCAAGTGAGGACTTACGGAAGGACCCCATAAATCAATCATGAACATAATCAAGAGTACCTTTAGTGGTGTGAATGTATGTTGAAATGTACCCTTTTATGCTTCCCGAAAATACAATGCTCACAAAACTTTATTTTACTCGAAAGTGCAGCCATCCAAAGAGTTTTCTCTTCATCAATTCTTGCCATACCATGGTGACTCATATGTCCCAAACGATATGCCAAAGGTTAGTTTTACTAGGTTCATCATTAGTAACAAAGCAAACAATGCCGAATCGTAACCGTAAAGTACACCCTCTAAGGACATATAACTTTGCGTAATTAAGATCACCTTTCAAGCAAACAAGAGAACCTTTTGATACCTTGAACGCCATCCCAACCGGAATATTTGTAACCTTGTCAAACGTGCTCAATGAGATAAGATTTCGGACATCCTCGTATATACCGATATTTTTCAACGTGTGTCATGCCATCATCACATTGATCCGAATCGATCCAATCCCCACAATGTCACACGGGTTATCATCTCCCATCCGCATTCACATCCCCTTTTCGCACAAGATCGAGCTAAACCAATTTCATTAGTGCAAATATGAAATGAACATGCGGAATCGAGAATCCATTCATCATGACCAACAACACAACCAAAGAATACTACCGACAATCTCCGAATCATCATCGACGCAGCAGATCCACTTGAATGAGACCTTACCAAATGACTTGTTTTTCCTCTTCTCCTTATTCTCATGCTTTTCTTCTCGCAATCCTCAATATTATGATTTGTCGACTTGCAATAAACACAGAACTTTTTATTACCATGCGGCTTGGACTTTGAACGGCCTCTCCTTTCGTAGTTCTTTCTTCCATCATTGCCATCATTGGAGGATCTGCTGCCGATTCTTGCCTCTCACATGCAAAGCATCGCCTTGGAGGACGACGTCCGTCATTCTCGCACCATGCCTCTCATCTTCTCCCTAGATCGGAGAGCCTCATAAACTTCCTTTAGGGTTAGTTCATCACGGCTCAAAAGTATGGTGTCACGAAAATTTGCATACGAATTTGGCAAAGAACATAGCAGTAAAAGACCTAAGTCCTCATCATCATACTTCACCTCCATCGACACTAGGTCGGCGACGATCTTCTTGAATTCAGCGATGTGGCTCATCACTGAATCCTCCTCCTTCATCTTCGTGGTGAATAGCTTCATCTTCATCTCGCATCTTCTTGGTTAGATCCTTGGACATACAGATCGATTCCAGCCAAATGATAGTTCTGCAGCAGTTTTCTCTTTCAAACACTCCTGCAAAATATCATTATGAAGATGCAACTGAATTAGGGCGAGCGCCTTCTGATCCTTGCGGATCTCTTCTGGAGTCCACTCGGCCTTCCTCTTTCCGAAACTATCCAAATAGCCTCATCATAGTCATGAGTCTGCGCTGAATCCCCGCATCTTGACTTGCCATAGCGAGAACCGCGTGTCGAAGTTCAAAGAGCGGAAGATCGAACTTCATCGACGTCGTCATGAACCCTAACAAAGAACCAAAGCTCGATACCACTCGTTATGAACGACGATAGGAATATGAAGTAAAGAATCAAACCACGAGGAGACACACGATTTAACGTGGAAAACCCTCCGATGTGAAGGGGAAAACCACGGGCACCACCCGGAACAATCTCACTATCTCAAGAGTTTTGGGTTACACGCCTATGGCGGCTTACAAGAGAATCAAGTCCCCACGAAACCCTAGCAAGGGTGTGTAATATATCTATGCTGCACGCTCGCCCAAGCCTCCGGCGACGGGCCTCCGCTTCGCTCCGTCAGAAGCCTGGCCTATATCCTAGAGTGAATTTGGAACAACTCCAACACTACCGGCGTTTGTGAAGCATTTTGGGGTCATCACTCGACCACTGACAGAGCTGCTCAGGAAGGGTGCGTTGTTTATTTGGTCCACAGTTCATGATGCAACATTCCATGCCCTTAAACAAGCGCTGACTTCTGCTCCGGTGTTGGCCTTGCCCGACTTCTCAAAACCCTTCTGTGTTGAAACGGATGCAAGTGGCACGGGCATTGGTGCAGTGTTGACACAAGAGGGTCACCCATTAGCGTTCCTCAGCAAATCACTGTGTCCTCGTTCTCAGGGGCTGTCTACGTACGAAAAGGAGTATCTCGCTATCTTATTAGCACTTGATCAGTGGCGCAGTTACCTGCAACATGCCGAGTTCTGTATCCTTACCGATCAGAAAAGTCTGGTGCAACTGTCTGAGCAGCGGCTGCACACGCCGTGGCAGAGAAAGTCTTCACCAAGCTCATAGGCCTCCAATATCAGATCATCTATTGCAAGGGTGTCGACAATCACGCCACGGATGCTTTGTCACGTGTGCCAGCTCAGAGTTGTTCTGCAGTCTCTGTTGCCCAGCAACAATGGTTATCTGAAGTGGTTGCCTCCTATGAATCTGATGCACATGCTCAACAGTTGATTGCCAAGTTGGTGGTTGATCCGTCAGCAGTACCTCGCTTCACCTTTCGAGATGGTCTTCTTCGATACAATCAGCGAGTGTGGATTGATCATCACCCCGAGCTACAGACAAGAATTATTGCCGCTCTTCATGCCAGCGCAGTTGGTGGGCATTCCGGTATTCCAGTCACATATCGACGGATCAAGCAGCTTTTTGCATGGACAGGACTCAAATCCGCGGTGCAGGAGTTTGTGCGTTCTTTCTTGACTTGCCAACAGGCGAAGCCCGATCGGTCTCGCCTACCCGGTCTTCTGCAGCCATTGCCGGTTCCCGATCGCGCCTGGCAGGTCATTTCTATGGACTTTGTGGAAGGTCTTCCATTGTCGGGTGGATACAACTGCATCCTGGTAATAGTTGATACCTTTTCCAAGTATGCACACTTCTTGGGGTTGAAACACCTGTTCACAGCTGCGAGCGTTGCCAAGCTGTTCCTGTCTCAAGTGTATAAGCTTCATGGTCTTCCTAATGCTATCGTGGCCGACAGGGACCGTATTTTCACCAGTACCTTGTGGCGGGAGTTATTCAAACTAGCGGTGTGGATTTATGCATGAGGTCTGCTTACCATCCACAGTCTGACGGGCAGACGGAAAGGGTGAATCAGTGCTTGGAGGCCTTTCTTCGGTGCTATGTGCATGCCTGTCCGCGGCAATGGAGCAGTTGGCTTGATTTGGTGGAATTCTGGTATAACACCTCGCTGCATTCTGCTCTGGGTCGATCGCCGTTTGAGGTGCTCTACGGCTTTGCTCCCCCAACAGTTTGGTGTGCATGCTGCTGATGATCCTCCCGTCACAGATGAGTGGCTTCAGGACTGAGAATTGATGTCAGAACTGATTAAGCAACACCTTCATCGTGCTAAGAACCGAATGAAGAAGCAGAAAGATCAGAATTGTTCTGAACGGGAATTTCAGCCAGATGACTGGGTGTTTCTTAAATTGCAGCCCTATGTCCAATCTTCATTGGCTGATCGTGCAAACCAGAAGCTGGTATTCAAATTCTTTGGTCCCTTCCGTATTATTGAGTGCATCAAATCGGTTGCCTACAGGTTGGAACTCCCAGCCTCTTCTTCCATTCACCCTGTTTTTCATGTGTCTCAGCTCAAGAAGGCCGTGGGTGCTCACCACATTGTGGAAAAATCTTTACCACCGTCATCTATCCGCTGGAGTATTCCTGAGAAGATCCTTCAGTGCCGCTCCATCATTAAGGGGTCGACTCCAGTTCATCAAGGTTTGATCAAATGGTCCAAGTTGACACCCTCTTGATCCACTTGGGAAGATCTGGACTACCTGCGTCAGCAATTTCCGCACGCTGCTGTCTGGGGACATCCAGGCACGCAAGGGGAGGGGGTGTTAGGATTAGCTCCCCAGGAGCTGTGCCGGATGATGAACAGGAGGCCTCGGCATCACGCGCGACGGGAATCACGGGAGCAAGACCAGAATGGGCCAGGGCCCGTAGTGCAAAGGTGTATGGGCCGGAGTGGGTGAACAAGTGAGCCCAATAGCGAGTGTGTGTGTGAATTGCCTTCGCCACACAATCCAAAGGCCAAAGCAGCAAGCTGGTCAGGGACTCCGTGCCAGCGATGAGCAGCTAGTATGAGTGAAAAATGTCTCGTGGGGACCGTCAAATACCCATATTGGTTAAACAGTTAATATGAGCATCCATATCCATGTTCCATACATGTACATTAAAATCGCTAGCGCCTGGACGTCCGGTGCTAGCATAGGAAGCGAGCGAGTGCGTAGCGCGTTGGGCTCATGAGCGAGCGTACTTGCAGTCGGCTGCGCCGCCCTAGACATTGCTCGTGCCGCTCCGGACGTCGTCCGCGTGCCGCCCCAAACGTCGCCCGCGCAATTAGCCCCTTCCCACGCGCATCCCATGTGCAACATTCGATCTACTTTTGAAACATCCAGATACAACAGTTGCAATATACAAAAGAAGACAGATGAAACACTTGAAACAAGCTTCTAAAACACTTGCGAAAACACCCGAAAATTTTTGAAAACCATTGCAAACATATGCAACATTTAGATGAAACACTTGCAAATATACGTATACGTATGAACACCTAAAACACTTGAAACATATGTTTGCAACAAGCTTGTATATGCAACATCTAGATGTACTTTTGCAACATCCAGATAAAACACTTACAACATACGTCAGATAAAATATTTGGAACACACACTTAAAATATACGTGTATAGCTATTACAACATGTGCAACATTTCGATCTACTTTTACAACATCGATATACAAGCAACAACATACCACTAAAATATCTAAAACACTTCAAACATACTCTTACAACATGCAGTTTTCACCCTTCTTCCGTACGACGCAACATAGAGTGAGGTGACGGCCCATTCCGGCAAGCCGACGGCTGAGGATGGTGGCGCGGCCTGGCAGCGGCCAGCTGCGCCCACGCCTAGCCTAGGCCAGGCCAGCGATGGCCCCCTTTCTTGGCTGCCTGGCCTAGGCGTAGCAGAGGACGGAGCACGATATGGCGCGGCAGGGGGCGGAGGCAGGGATGGGGGCGTCATGGAGGATGGCGTCGGCGGCGTGCCGTAGCAGGCCGTGGCGCGGCAGAGTGGGGCAGGCGGCCACGTCATGCGGCACGGAGTGGGGAGAGGAGCGCGGAGTAGCGCGGGATGGGAGCGGATGCGGCACCGCCGCGCTGGAGAAGGTCACGGCGAGGAGCCTCACGCTGGAGAAGGGAGCAGCGCTGTCTTTTTTTTTTTTTTGAGAAGCGGACTAACGAGTTACACTGGATAAGGCGGAGTACGGTCCGGTCCGTCTGTTATAGGGAGCATTGCCACACTAAAATAGATTGTTCTATAAATCTTTTATACATGCAAGGAACGGCTTGCTTTTGAAAAGCACATGTATATACACGTGATTCCTTTCTGTACATGTTCGATAAGATTTGTTTTGGCCGAACAGGACAGTGCCTTGTTGGGTTATCCGACTAGCCGCTCTGTAAATATATATAAGATGATGTCCAATTGACAACACATAATCGACATATCAATCTACTACATTATTTTACATCTACTCTCTCTGTCCCGCTTTAAAGGTCGTTGTGGCAGTCCATTCAATCGTCTACATTCACAGCACAGTAAAGTGAATCTGGACACACAGCATAGTAGAGTGCATTCAATCGTCGCTGCACCTGGTAACAACCTAAAGCGACCATTAAAGCGGGACAGAGGGAGTACTATTTTGTCTCTAGTTTTTGCTTCTTGCTCTTCGTTGCCGCCTACTTCATTACGACAACAGGCGCAAGGTTCTAGGGGCGGTCAAGCCGACCTAGGGCAGCCCATTGCCGCCATTCTTCTTGACAGGTCCCTCTCGGGAGCGTGGGGTGTCAGGTTTCAAGAGCTCTCACCGGCATGGCTTGCATATCACGCTCTCGAGAGACTCCTCTTGCGACGTGTTTTGCACATCATGCTTGTTGCCAGGCGCACACGTGGCGTGCTTGTATGCGAACAGGATGCAATAATACTGAGACCTTAATTAGCGTTAAATCGAACGGAATTTCCTTTTGTACTACAGAAAAATTCATGGCCTCATGGGCATACACCAAGAACCACGAACATTTTTTCCCCTTCAATTGAATAAATAATAGCAGATGCGGATACATCCCAACTTAATCATTTCCTCAGAGTTCAGACTGCGTCAGGTCAGTATCCGAAGATTAACACATGACAATGGATCCATTTATCTACTAGCTTCCAGGTGTGAATTTCAGGCAGATGGGTGGCTTGATCTTGGCCAGAGAAAGCAACGACGACGGGAAAGTCCATATGCCATCACCGCAGATGAGGCCTGACGCCACCGCCGGCACCAGCAACGTGCTCTCATTGCCGTTAACCCGTTGCCAGGCAAAGACCACCACGGTCCCCACCACCATGTCGATGGCGAAGCTGGCGCCGACGAGGAACGGCACGGCCATCGCCGTCGGCAGAGGCACGTACCTCGCGTACCGCGGCGGCAGGACGTCCTTGATCACGTTGGCGATCACGGCGAACGCGAAGAACCCCGCGGACAGCGGCAGGCAGTGCTTGGGCAGCGCCGAGAAGCCCTGCGCTCCCAGGAGCGCCATGTTGCGGTAGATGATCGCGAACGGCGCCTTCCAGTACCCGTTGGGGTTGCCGACGTCGAACGCCCTGTAGAAGAGGAGGAACGTGAGCGGCGTGACGACGCAGCCCATGGCGGCGCCGACGGCCTGCGCGGCGAGCATGGACAGCGGCGACGTCAGGGTCAGGTGCGCCGTCTTGAAGTCGTGCATGAGGTCGGCGGAGATGAGCACCAGCTGCTTGACCAGCCCGCAGCCGACGAGGCCGGCCACGACGCCGTCGTCGCGCCCGGCCCACGCCGCGAGGACGAAGAGCGCGAGCTGGCCGTAGCTGTAGCCCATGTTGATGTCCGTGAGCCCGGCGCCGTAGGAGTTGGAGAAGCCCAGCACGGGCGCCAGCACGTACGCGGCCACCACGTAGTACCACCGCACCTGGCGGAACATCATCGGGATGGCGACCACCGCGACGGCGCTCATGACGGCGTACCCGGCGTACGCGAGCCACGCCGGGATGGAGTCTCGGTTGAAGACCTCGTCGCGCCGCAGGTCGTCGATCGCTGCCGCGTTGTCCTCGTCGGCCACTGCATCTCGTTCGGTTCCACCATCAGATTCACTTGAGTTAGTGCTGAAGAATCAGATCAGAAACAAGTAAATACGAAAGGTAGAGTAGGATTGCACTCTCCACCTATGTGCTAGTGCTACTGCTACCTCGGTTGTTGCTACGTCTGAGTTTTGATCGTTCATGCAGGCTCTTGGCGGTGACGCCGAGGACCTTGACGAAGTGGTAGATGCCATCACCCATGATCAGAGCTATGCACACGAAGGACTGCACGGGAGAGCAACCAAAACGCTATATATCAACACTGCATGTTCTCTACTCTACTCACTGGCTTGAAGAATTCATTCAGGTGAGGAAGTACTGTGAGTCATCAGACCTTGTAACCATACAAGCTGGTCATGCTGCTCTCCGGTACATCTGCGGAGTACCAATCGCCCTTGCGTTTGCGGATGAGTGGCCACAGTATTCCCCAGGAGAGGACCGCGCCGAGGAGGGTGGAGAGGTTGACATGGTGCGGGCAGATCATCCCGGCACCGACGTACGTCATGCTGAAATCGAAGAAGAACCTGATCGCAAGCATAGCCGACAAACAGCAGGGTTCAGACTTCAGAGAGGATGAGTAGCACAAGGAAGGATTCATGAAGACAATATTATATATTACGATTGTTTCCAGGCCTTGAGGCCAAACGTAGGGAACTGAGCGAATCCGCAGGCGTTGCCACCGGTGTAGAACCACTGGAAGAAGCTCCAGAAGAAGCTGATCCCGAAGTATTTCAGAAATGCACGTACTTGCTTCCTGCAGTTGATTATGAGCAAGATCATTCAGAATCTCGGCTCAATTATTCTACAGATGCATACTTAATCGGCTTCATCTAGCTGTTATATATAAGCATTAATGAACAACAGAGAAGATCTCCAAACGCACTCTGCATTCTTGTCTCCTTGAGGGGTGTGGAACCCGTTTATAAGAACAGCTGTTGCCGTCCCGCTTGGGTATGTCAGCTTGTAGTCGATGACCAAAGCCTGAATAATAATAAACAATTTATTACTGCGCATCTTGTGAAGTGATTTTTTTTTCCAAAAGAAGAAGATTTCCGCATGTGAAATGAAATGGAATGAAATGAAGCACCTTTCTGAGGGGAATCAAGGTGAGGAGGCCGCCAAAGCTACTGGCGACGAGGAAACCGGTTATCCACCGGAATCCTGGCTCCTTGACGCTCCCCGGCACATTTCCCGGCGTGTTCACCCCGGCCGCCTCGTACGTCCTCTTGTTCAGGCCCAGCATGAACGACCCGAACCCTGCGCACAGCAATTTCACGAGTCACGACACGTGACCAAGTGCGATGACGCGCGTGCGCCACGGACAAGCGAGCGCGACGACGCGACGCACATCCAAGCGCGTGCCAGCCGCGCGCCATGGCACGGCAGATGGACCACGCGGCGCAAGCGAGCGAGCTGAGCTGAGCTGTCAGGTGTCTGGCACGTACCGCAGAGCGCCAGCGAGTAGCACGCGACGGCGCAGGTCTGGACGACGGTGTTCTCCTGGCGCGTGAAGGGCCTGGCGCCGGCGACGCCGAGGCGGGCCAGCGCGCCCGTCCAGCCGCGGAGCGCCAGGAACGCGAGCAGCGCGGCGGACACGTTCATCGTGGGCACGAACCCCGTCGTGAGGTTCAGCTTCATGACGACGACGGTGTACATGGACCCGATGAGCGCCGCGGCCACCAAGCCCCGCGCCGTCAGCTGCTCGCGCCACGGCTGCTGCTGCTGATCCAGCGCAGCGGCGGCGGACGACGCGGCCTCGGGCTCCGGATCTGCAGGCTGCGTCTCCGCGCCGCCGCCGGCCTCGCACTTGTCGATCTCGTCCGCGGGGTTGATCTCCATGGCAGAGCAGCTAGAGCAAGAACTACTGCGAAGTGATTAGCGGCTCAGTGCCCCGGACTCTGCCGGGCCTGGCCATTAAATGGGCAAGCCTTCTTTCTGGTCCTCGGCATCTGCAACCTCGCTCTGTGTTCAGGATGTCGACATGGCGTAGAAGCAAAAGTCACCCAAAAAATGTGGAAAATCCAAAATCCTATCGTGGAGTAAATGAAAGGAGAATTGGAGACAAGATCAAGCAGAAATCACCCGCCTGTGCTGTGCTTTCAGTTTCAGGTTTGTGGCTTCCTGTCGAGGCGTCGAGCAGTTCTTCCACCATTTACGCAGTATGCATCAGTTATTCAGCTGTGATTTGTGGGAATAAATCTGCATTGCCGCGTGCTCGTTGCAGGGGTTCCGCGATGCTGCCAAAGTACCAATAACGTAGTAACGTACTCTCCCTCAATCCAGACACGTCTTATTTTTTTTAAAGTCAACGTTTAATCAAATCTATAAAAAAACATGAACATCTATGATACTGAATAAATATAATTAGAATAATCATGCAATATAATTTTCATAGCATAGCTATTTGAAGACATCAATATTAGTATCATTTTTTATAAGCTTAGTTAAATCTGAAATTGATTGGTTTCTTGAAAAGTGAGATGCATAGTTTTTTAACAAAAGAAGTCCATCTATTTTTTTTTGCATGTCACATTAGTTTTGTGCTAAGTCAAACAAAAATATATGTGAGCATCTATTTCAAAAATCCTTATACTTTCATAATATATAAATTATTATATATTATAAACATTTATTTTTGTGAACCTAAAAACATAAATCTTATGTCATACAACTATACATTTTTTTTAACTGATGATTGAAGATACATCTTCTGGAGTTAGGATAAAGCTAATATGACATGTAAAAAACAGAGGAGTGCTTGTCAGAAATCTAAGCAAAGAAGTTACGTTTTGTAATTGATAGGCAGAGATATTTTGACTTTATGAGCTCATAGGTGAGTACTAATTCAACACCCAGGTGAGATTAAAAAAAAACAGAGGTTTGCTTGCTACATCTTACAGTACATGGTATGCGTGAAGTCACTCTTTAACGAGAGCTACTAACTAGTGGCCTTCCTAGGACATATTTGGACGAGAGAATTAGTTCAGTGTCTGGTTAGAATCGATGGGGGGTCCGTGCCTAACGCATTGTAGCTGGAAATGTTTCTATTAGAACCAGAGAGAAACATTTTAGCCTTTTGACCTACACGAGGGAAGAGACCACGAGATTTTAGATATTTTTCCTGATTCTACTTCTTTTAATCTGAATTCAGGTAGCCAGCTAAACGGTTCCTTAAAATGATTCCAGTTCACCAGGAAACATTTCCAGATATAACATATATTTGAAACATTTTTTAGAGAATTTAGAGCCTACCAAATGGACTTTTATTTTGATACTTGTCCCAGTTCCGAGGATAATTTTAGAAAACCTATCCAAAATACTCTAAAGACAATCTGATTTCATCGATACCCAAATGAGATTGTTCATGAAATCGGCACTAGTCATTTCCTCGCTCTATATAGCATGCTCTTTAGAGTAACGTATACCATTTTGTTGTTGAATCTGTTTTCTCCTTTAGAAATAATAAATACCATCTTATCTTAGATATCTATAGTGAAATGTAACCAATTTTGCTTTTGTTAAGCTCCAAGATATTAAGACTTAGCATATCTGGATGAGCCCACAGGGGCAGGGCTGCCCGTGCTGCAGTCCTGGTCCTTGGCTAGAAAATTCCATATACACTTACTTCATCAATTATAAAATTGAAGGAAAAAAATGTTGATTTAGTCCTTTATTATATGGTTGGGCTTAGCAGATTTCTGGGTCCGCCCTAAGCCAACAGTGTTTGTGTGGAGCTATGGACGGTGCATTAGCACTGTAGCCATGTATGGGGATATTATGAAGATGGCATCATCATCTCTTTATGAGCTGTCGTAGGATGTTGTTTTTTCTTTCAAAGTTATAACAATTAGGATACCTCAACATATTTTTAGTGACCTATTTACACTAATAAGAGGGGATATTACGAAGATGGCCTCGTCATCTCTTTAAGCTATTGATGACTTTTTCCTCTTTAGAAATAAGGCTTATTAGAGCAACTTAAAGAGTCTCTTTATATAATTTCTTATTGATAGGAATAAAGACTTTGATGAAAAATAACATCCAACAACTTTTTAAATTGGGTCTCCATATTGTCGCTCTCTATTCCGGATTTCTCTCTAGTTAAAGATGAAGAGCGCGGTTGGCTCTTTAGAGTACGCACAAGATATAGAGAAGATGTTAGAGAGTGGAAAGATATAGAGAGCGATTTTTATTCAAAATGACTCTCAAAACAATGGCAGAGATTTAGTTTAAGCAAGACTCCGAGAGCCTTTTCTAAAATTTATTATCTAAATCATCATTTGAAAAGTCATTTGAGTAAAAATCATTTTCTATATTCTTTGTATACAACAGTAGCTACTCTATATCTTGGCGCACTTTAAAGAGCCATCCTTACTCTTCATTTTGGCTAGCAAAAAATCTGAAATAGTGGATGTCTATACGTAGAGATCTCATTAAAGAGGCTATTAGAGGTTTTTTTTTACCAAAATCTTTATTTTTACAAATTAAGAAGGATATAAAGAGTGCTTTAGATAGGGTAAGGTTGGTTTAGATCCGTTGGGAAGCTAGGTGGAGTCATGGGATGGTGCAGGCTCCATCTCTTCATCCCACCTTTCAGCGAAACTAAAAGCAAAAGTATACATTTAAACATCTAACTATGGGTGTTGATTCTAAAAAAAAAGATTCTATAAAATAAAAATACTATCTTTGTTTATGCAATGGAAAAAAAATCCTACAGTAAGAATGGTATATGTTTTTTTTACCATAAATGATAGAAAAAGAAGTACACTACAATTACCATGTCAAATTTATGCATGCATAAAAATAAAAACCAAGCTAGGGGGAAGCTAAACAGGTTTTCACCATGAAAACAAAAAAGGAGCCCAAATTTAGTTAGAGCTTGTTTGGCAGCTCGGAGCAGTTTCGATTCTAGCGTGAAACGTCAGAATCCCCGCCAAACGGGTAGGTAGAGAAACATTTTACTCTCGGAGCAGTTTCAATTCTCACGTGAAACGCCAGAATCCATTCCAAATAGGTAGGTAGAGAAACGTTTCACTAGTCAATCACTTGAATCTGTTCTTTTTTTTCCTACAAGCCCGAAATGATCGCCGAGTAGTTTCACTAGATTTCATTTCTTGCTCCTCTCCATACTAGCAATTGTAATTTTACTAGTTAAACTACTTTTTTAAGTGCAACGAATTAAATGTGTTGTATTTAAGTTGTTTTCACCCCCAAAAAAATGGAATTTTTGAACAATATTTTTATTTATATGATTTTATTATGAAAAACATTTTTTAATCAGAATCTAGCCTACCAGCCAAACAATTTCACTAGGTGATTCTGATTCATCACCTTAAACGTTTTTTAAGAGAATCTAGATCCGAAATATTTCTATAAGAATCTGGATCACTACCAAACGCATCCTATATTGAAAGAACTTACCTAGATGGTGACATGGTGTGAATGCACGAACAAACTTTCTGCCCTGACTAGACTCACTTCCTAATTTATGATTTCATATTGTGGGTAACCCATTATACAAGTCAGTAGCCACAAACTTGTAAGAATGTAAATACACAACCAAAATGAGCATTAATTTCTGTTAAACTGTACTGTAGCAATCTTCTTTTTTTCCAAAACACAAACATAGGTACAAAAAACATATCAGCTCTAGAAATCCCGAGTACCGTAGCTCCTGGAGAACCCCACACATAAACAGCAAGGATAATACAGGGGACATGGCTTCAATTTATTGTGTCCACTACCACTAATCACAATTGATGCCTCTTTCCCTGAATCTGGCATTCTACAATTTCATGAACTGCCCATTTTGTTTCTAGCTTCCAGGTGTGAACTTCATGCAGATCGGTGGCTTGATCTTGGCCAGAGCGAGCACGGAAGACGGGAAGGTCCATATGCCGTCTCCACAGATCAAACCGGACGCAACCGCAGGCACCATGAACACAGCCTCCTTCCTGTTCATCTTGTTCCAGACAAAGACGACCAGACTCCCAACGCACATATCAATCGCGAAGCTCCCATTCACAAGGAACGGCACGGCCATCGCCATTGGCAGGGGCACGAACCTCGCGTACTTCCGTGGCAGGACGTCCCGGGCAACACTGAAGACAAACGCGAACGCGAAGAACCCAGCGGAGAGCGCGAGGCAGTGCTTGGGCAGCACGGAGAAGCCCTCCACGCCAAGGATCGCCATGTTCCGGTAGATCAGCCCGTAGGGCGCCTTCCAGTAACCGTTGGGGTTCCCGATGTCGAACGCGTTGTAGAAGAGCAGGAACGTGAGAGGCGCGACGACGCAGCCCATGGCCGTCCCGATGAACTGCGCCACGAGCAGGGACCTCGGCGACGTCATGGTCAGGTGGCCTGTCTTGAAGTCGTGCATCAGGTCCGCGGACGCCATCACCAGCTGCTTCACTAGGGTGCCGCCGGCAAGGCCGGCGATGACGCCGTTGTCCTTGCCAGCCCAGGCTGCGAAGATGAAGAGCGCGATCTTGCCGTAGTTGTAGGCCATGTTGATGTCGGTGAGCCCTGTCCCGTATGAATTGGCGAAACCGAGAAGAGGGGCGAGGACGTAGGCCACGATGACGTAGTACCACTTGATCTGCCTGAATATATGTGGGATGGTGATCACTGAAATGACGGTCAGCGATGCGTATCCGGCATAAGCTGCCCAGGCGGGGAAAGACCCGTCGTTGAAGATCTCATCACGTTGTAGATCGTCAAGTGGCACCATTTCATCCCCGCCGTTTGCCGCTGTTCATTCAGTCAACGACAGCAGGTTATTCATTTTCTCACCTCAGCTGCTAGAACTGATGATTCTGGTGTTTTTCATTTTCTCACCTCTGTTGGTAGCACGTTTCCGGTTTAGTCGTTCATGAAGGCTCTTAACAGTGACACCAAAGACCTTAAAGAAGTGGTAAGTACCGTCTCCCATGATCAGAGCTATACAGAGGAAAGCCTGGAAGGCAATAAAAGTTTGACATGTTTAGTGACATTAATGACACATGGTCTTCAGTATCCCTTTTTTAAAATGTAATAACCAAGAAAGGAAGAGTTTGATGCATGATAAGAGAGTGACCTTATAACCATATAAGCTTTTCATGCTGCTTGCTGGTATATTTTCAGGGTACCACTCCCCTTTTTGTTTGCTTATCAGTGGCCACAGTATCCCCCATGACAAGATTGCACCAAGGAGGGTGGAGATATTCACAAGGTGCGAACAAATCATCCCCGCACCAACGTATGTGAGGCTAAAATCAAAGAAGAATCTGACAACCAAGAAATTGGGAATTAGGTAGCGTTGCACGCTGCAAATTAGGGAGATATTTGAAGCAGCAGAGTATGCATGTTTACGTTTGCTTCCAAGCCTTCAGACCGAATGTAGGAAACTGAACAAAACCGCAAACATCACCGCCTGTGTAGAACCACTGGAAAAAACTCCATATGAAGCTAAGCCCAAAGTACTTCAGAAACCCACGGACTTGCATCCTGTCATGGGAAGTAAATTTAGTTCACTTGGGTCAATAACTCATCATCAAGGGATGCTTGATCCAACCACAGCCTAAAATATGAACCTAACAGAGGTGGGGTGATGAATTGAAATCCATACTTTGCATTCTTGTCTCCTTGCTTGGTGTGGAAACCGTTTATGAGAACAGCAGTTGCAGTTCCACTTGGGTAAGTTAACTTGTAGTCAATGACCAAAACCTGGAAAGTGGAAATGTCTTGTAAAACGAGTAGCATTGTTGATAACTGAAAACTAGCAAACCTTTCATTAGATTTGTAAACATGGTTCCTAAGTCAACCATTCCAAACTATATAGGTTGAGTTTAGACATTTGAAAAGTGATATGAATAGATTTGTCTCGAAATATATATGTTGAGGAACAGCACCTTTCTGAGGGGAATCAAGCTTAGGAGGCCGGCGAAGCTGATCGCCGCGAGGAATCCGGCCATCCAGCCGAATCCAGGGTCCTTGTAGCTCCCCGGCACGTTGGCCGGCGAGGCCCCGGCCAGCTCGTACGTCTTCTTGTCCAGGCCCAGCAGCGTGGAGCCGAACCCACCTGCACACGCGCGCGCGAATCAGTCAACGGCAACCGTCACGGCGGCATGCATCCCGGGCTGAGCGGAGCAGCTGACCGCCGAACGCGATGGTATAGCACGCAACGGCGCAGGTCTCGATGACGCAGTTCTCCTGGCGCGTGAAGGGGCGGTGCGCCACGCCGAGGCGCTCCAGCACGCGCGTCCACCCGCGGAGCGCGAGGAACGCCATCAGCGCGGCGGAGACGTTCAGCGTGGGCACCAGACCCGTGGTGAGCGCGATCTTCATGACGATGACGGTGTACATGAAGCCGATCAGCAGCGCCGCCACCATGCCGCGCAGCGTCACCTGCTCCCGCCACGGCTGCACCTGCTCCTGCTCCTTCTCACGCGCCGCCGCCGGGTCAGACTCAATGTCCTCAGGCAACGGCTCCTGCTTCTGGATCTCCTCGTCGTCCGCTGCTGCGACACTGCTCCGCGCGCGGTCCATGGCGGCCTCGATCGATTGATACCTGCCTCAAGAGAAGTGGAGGCCGATGTCTACAAGCGCAACCCCAAGGGGATGAGCGGCATTCGAAGATGGTGAGGTTGAGATGTCAATAGTAGCCGGGATATATATAGAGAAATCCTTCAAATATCAACTATGCCTTCTCACTTAGAATCACTGGTTATCTAAAAATCTCACTAAGAATCACTAGTCCAAACCATATGAAGTATTTTCGTCCCAGCAAAATACTAAGAAATTTTCAAGTCGTCGCATTATTAGCTGTCGAGAGAGTTGTTAGGGGAAGAAGGAAAGCGACTCGAGCGAGTTGATTGGCGGCAGCATTTTTCTTGCCGTCATGTCTGTGTATAGTTCATCTCGTACAGATTGATGGAATGATGACTTCTTTTGAACGCAGGTTACCGTGGAGTCATGTCCGGGCATGTTTGTATCTAAAGTTTGGTTGGGATGTTTTAGCCTGGTTTAGTTTCACCTTAATTTCTAAAAAGTTACTATAGTATTTGCCACATTGAATATTTGTGGCCTATGCATGGAGTATTAAATGTAGACGAAAAGAAAAACTAATTGCACAGTTTGGTGGGAAATTACGAGACGAACGTTTTTAGCCTAATTAGTCCATGTTTGAACACTATTTGCCAAATAAAAACGAAGGTGCTACAGTAGCCCCAAAATCCAAATTTCATGAACTAAACAAGGGCTTAATCCTCCGGTGTTTGGTTGCCCCTCCTAAAATTTAGCCATCGAATGTTTGACATATGCATAGAGTATTAAATATAGACTAATTACGAAACTAATTACATAGTTTACGACTAATTTGCGAGACGAATCTTTTAAGTCTAATTAGTATATGATTTGACAATGTTTTGCTACGGTAAACATGTGCTAATGACGGATTAATTAGGCTTAAAAATTGCCTCGTGAGTACTGACGAATTATGTAATTTGTTTTTTTATTAGTATCCGAACACCTCATACAACGTCCTCCCGACATACCTCCTAAATTTTAGTCGCCGGATCCAAACACCCCTTAACAGAGGTAGACTCAGCCAAGCTTGAGCTAGCTAGGATAAAATAGCTAAATTTAGTTAAACTTTAACTGATTTCTTAGCTGAGCCATTTAGATCCCTAGCAACTAAAGTTTAGTTAGTGATCAAATAGACCCTACGTTAGACCAATACTCTGCTATGTGCTTGTGTATACTCTACAAAATGAAATCTGAAATTTGTCCAAATATAAAGAGCCTATACCAACTTTTGTAGCACGTATAATAGGATACTACTCCCTTTCTTACTAAAAATTATAAATCATTTTAGCTTTTTTAGGTACACAGATTTTGAAGAAGATTCCTTAAATATATACGCTTCCTTTATGCGTGCCATTGAAAATAACGTGTTCCCCTCATTGTCATTGGTTTGTAATTTTAGTCCCCCTATAATGTGCCACTATTGTTGGTTTTCCTTTTAAGTCCCACGTGTACACCGTTAAGTATTACTTAGGCAATATAACAAACACCTTGTGTGCGCTAGCAACACCGTTAAGCCAGGGCACTGAGCGGCATGCACGGGCGAAGCGAGGTAGCCGGCGGTGGTTTGCGCGCTCGGGACTGGCGGTGGCGCGAGCGCGAGTGCGGTCGGTGAACACGCCGTGGAGGAGACGCGACCGGCGAGTGCACGGCAATGACAAGCACTAAGCCGGGGAGCCTGGGAGGTGGCGGAGGTGGCTCACACGCTGATGAGGGCAAGGCGGCATGAATCCAAGGCACAGCAAGCGCGTGGGCAGGGGTGGGGTGAGCCCAGGCGACAAAGGCGTGGGGGAGGAGACGCGATCCACGGGGGCGGAGCGCGGCATGCGCGCGGGGTGGCGAGCATGAGGCCGACGGTGGCGGTCCACGCGGTGGCGCGCGCGCGGCTGATGATGGCACAAGGGCGAGCTGCGAGCGCTCGAGGGCGGCGAGCATATGACAACGGCGAGCACGAGGCTGACGAAGGCGGTCCACGCGGTCACGCGCACGCGGCTGACGATGGCACGAGGGTGAGCTGCGAGCGCACAAGGACGGCGAGCGTATGGCGGCGGCGAGCACGAGGCCGACGGAGGCGGTCCACGCAGTAAGCAGAGGCACGGAGAGTGATGTGAGGAGAGTGATGTGAGGAGAGAGGTTTTTGGCTTTTCCTGCTGCGCCTGCCGTGTCATGTGAGGTCCGTCTGAAAAGGAGGTCCACCACTTTTTTGTCGGCTGCTCCCTCTCTGTCCTCCTCCTCCTCCTCTGTCTCTGCAAGGACTGCTGCAGCAGAGCCGGAGAGGAAAAACGCACAGCGTCTGTCACATGTGCAGCACCTACAGCAGCGTACAGTACAGATGATGTACCCACACCTTCATGATTCATCGTGGTCAATGGATAGGACGACGGTCCGTGTTCCTACCTGTCGGTGAGGGTGATTGGGTGAAGGTGAACGGAGAACTAGTAGTACCACATATCAATCCACTGGTCGTTAGTTTCGTTCCTCCGTGCGCAAAAATAAAGTCATTTTCGACGAAACTTTATCAAATATTAGAAATATAAATCATGAATACTCTCTCTCCCTAAATTTTAGTCGTCACGATTTGTGTGTCGATAACTTTGACTTGATTTATAGAAAATGTGTGCAACATTTCTATCTCTAAATAAAATTATTAAAAAACTAGGTTCAAATATTTTTCTAATAATACTAATTATGTATCATAAATATTAATAATTTTTAATATATATTGAGCGAAAGTTGTTTATCAGAAAGCGAAAACAACAGATATTTAGAGACGGAGGGAGTAGCTTTTAAGTTGTTGGTTTTGAAAATGTGAAACCATATAAATAGATTTGTTTTGAAAAAATACTTTCACAAAAATATACGTATATCAATTTTGATAAATATTTTTATAAAAATAAGAAGTTAAAGTTATACTTTAGAGACAATGTCGTTGTCCAAACGACTTTATTTTTAGTATGGAGTACCCTATATAATCAGTTCAGAGATCACTCTGTTCGTTTCGCTGAAAGTTGGCTTATGCTTATGCTTATGTTTATACTGAAATGTTGTGAGAGAAAAACATTGTTCGTTCGCTAAAAAATAGTGCTAAAGTAGTGCCGCAGAACACAAAACAACGAATATTCTATCAATTCTATTATCACGAGTCTTGGGCTCCCATCCGTTGGCTGTTAATTTGCTTCTGTTAAAAAAAGTCCATTTGGCCATCTCATCAACTATCTAACAATACAGTTCCCCCTCTTATTTGTAAAACCAGATTTTATCCTCTTTAATTTTTAAAATTGTTTATTTATGCTTTTATATCATGAATTTGTCTGTCACGACATCACCTGGATTCTTTTCATATTCTTTCCTTCGAAAAGTTATGCAATTAAAAATTAGTAAAACTTAGTTTAATCTTAGAAAATTTATTTTAGCTCAGAAGATTATATAACCACTAGTTTTCCGTTCACCTTCACCCAATCACCCTCACCGGCAGGCAGGAACACGGACCGTCGTCCAATCCATTGACCATGGTGAATCATGAAGGTGTGGGTACATCATCTGTACTGTACGCTGCTATAGGTGCTGCGCATGTGACTGACGCTGTGCGTTTTTTCCTCTCCAGCTCTGCAGCAGCAGCAGTCCTTGCAGAGAGAGAGAGGAGGAGGAGGACAGAGAGGAAGCAGCCGACCAGAAAGTGGCGGACCTCCTTCTCAGACGGACCTCACAGGACACGGCAGGCGCAGCAGGAAAAGCCAAAAACCTCTCTCCTCACATCACTCTCCCTGCCGCTGCCTGCTGCTGCTCGCTGCCTCGTGCCTCCCTCCACTCTCCACTCTCCACTGCCCACTCTTCCAGTTCGGCGCAGAGCTCGGTATCAGGATCTATGACGCTGAGTTACATGACAAGTCATCATCATGTCTACGTCGAGCTCAAGATCTCGGCGCCAGCAATGATGGCGTCGAGAAGTAAAAGCGATGGCACCGAGCTAAGGGTTCAGATTTTAAAATCTTACCTCTAGGAACATATTTGTGATTTTTTTTAAAAAAAAGGCTAAAAAATAAAAAATTCGGTGGCAGCTCCATGCCGTCTCCGCGAGCGCAGGCACGGGAGGACAACGACTCCGGGCCATAGGCAACACCATCACGACCGTCCAATTGGTGTTGTCCGGGCCCCCGACGCCTCCACCTTCCACTGCTTCTGCGGTCTCGGTGCCTCTAAGGCACGACGCGACGGGCCAGAACTCAAGGCCCATAAGGCGCCCAACAACGCTTGGGGAGGCCGCATCGGCCAGGTGTGGCGTAATAGGCAGCAGTGTCAAGACCAGAGACGACGGCCACGGAAGCTTGCGGGGAGGAGCGAAGGGACGAGGGGAGGAGGCGATACGCCAATACCGGTCGATGGGGAACACGCTCGGAGCCTGCTGATGCCTGCCCAGTGGCCCGTGCTCGCGGCCAAGATGCACCAGCGTAGAGAAGCAAGCGTTCGTAAAGACGCCGCCGGCCAGCCCATGCTGCAGTCCTGCTGCTGTCGTTGCTTGTGTCAGCTCTCCCATGCTTCGTTGATTTCTCTCCCGATATATGTTAGATAATTAGACATCTTCATGGTCAATTTAATTCAGAAATAAAACATCAGCAGGTTCGTGATGACATATATGTGTATGTATATATCACTAACAAACTCTTCAGCATGCAAGTATGACATACCAATCAATACAGTAAGTACACAAAGTACAGTAATCAGAGAGTTAAGAGTGTACCCAGCGGAGGGTTCCATGTCGAGGGCATCGGAGGCTCCATTCGCACCAGACATAGTGCGTTGCTCGAAGTTGTGGACCACAGTCGATGCAGGAAGTGTTCACAGTGCAGTCCCATGAACGGTCACCAGAAACAAGATACCTTGTTTTTCCGCGAGTGATCACCAGGAAGAAGATGTCTGCGACGTGGACGAGCAGTCGCGGAATCGCTCAACAAAAGCCTAATCGC